CCTCCATTACTTTCACAGTGCCCGGCATTCAAGCCCCCGGCTCAGTGAGTCCCTGGACCCCTCAGTGGGGACAAGCTCAGCCCACTTCTGCTGGACTTTCAATGCGCCAGTCCTCTGAAGAAGTAGGCTGTGCCCACAAAAGTTCATGATCCATCCACAGGTTTGGTTAGTCTTGAGGGTGCTGCGAGGCCATTCCTTGTTTTTTAAGGTTTTCCCTTTAGTCGGGCAGTGAAGATGACGTCTCATGAGTCCCTGGACCCCTCAGTGGGGACAAGCTCAGCCCACTTCTGCTGGACTTTCAATGCGCCAGTCCTCTGAAGAAGTAGGCTGTGCCCACAAAAGTTCATGATCCATCCACAGGTTTGGTTAGTCTTGAGGGTGCTGCGAGGCCATTCCTTGTTTTTTAAGGTTTTCCCTTTAGTCGGGCAGTGAAGATGACGTCTCACGACCCCTGCAGTCAGTACTAAAATGATTTGTGTACATTTGTGATTGTTCTTGGAGCTACGCAAGTCCTGTCTGCTAGACACCGACGCAGAGTCGGTGTGGTCAAGGAAATGCACATTCATTCAATTGTATTTATTTTATTTTTATTTTATTTAATTTTATTTTATTATTACAGCTGCACATTGATACATGAGCCATGATGGGATGTCTCATTACTTTAAGCACCATACATGTAGTTTTATTTTCAAAGTATTTATAGGGACACTGTTAGGTCAAATCCTGCTTCTACCACCGATTGTTAGGTTTTTGTGGGTTTTGAAATAATTTTTATGCAACCTAATGTCAACAGAAAAAAATGTTGCCTTTTAAAATTCCACTGGAAACAAAACTTGGTGGGAGGATGGTTATAAACAAATAAACCTGCCCCTGCAGTATTTGCAACCTACATTGGTGTCTAGGGAATTGAAAATCTAAGGGTATGTCTACACAGCAAAGTTATTTCAAAATAACAGCCGTTATTCCGAAATAACTTTACTAGCATCTACACAGCCAAACTGCTATTTCGAAATCAATTAGAAATCGCAGAGCACTTATTTCGAATTTGGTAAATCTCATTCCACGAGGAATAATGCCAAATTCGAAATAGCTATTTCAAAATAAGTGCTGTGTAGACACTTACATCGAAATAGGGGGCCTCCCGCCTCCCCAGAACCCTTAAAGGGGTTGACTCTGGCCACAGTGCCTGTGCCAGCTCCAAGCCTGCCAGTCCAGAGCCAGCAGTCCCTGCCCCTAACCCAGTAGTCCCAAAACATGAGCCAGCAAGCCACTGGCAGCCAGCCCTCCACCGCTCCCCAGGAGC